GAGCTGCAACACCTGACTGCTGCACGGTACGGTTTGGAATTGTGTGCACTTGTGCCAGCGAGAAGAACGAAGCATGGTTTTCGAATGTTTCGGTCACGGTCCTTCCACCTCGGTTCGTTGACGGTGACATGACATATGCCTTTAGTAAACAGGTCTTGGTCGAAGGTGCTCACGGAACATGTACAAAAATAGAGGACATCGGTGGATGACTCGGCCCTGTGGCGTTGCCCATTGCTACCGAAGGAAGGTCTAAGACTACCAACGTGAGCACCATTGCTACTCCGAAGACTGTCGCAAAGTCTGCTGGGAACTGCAGAACGCCAAGCATTTCAGGTGGTTGTGTATCACGTGTCACTCAAGCGGAGGGTGGGTGGTATGTTTCAGGTACTGCCAGAATCACCATCGATCTGTTCCAAACTTGGCTTATTCGACTGCTGCAGGCTTCATCCCCAGCAAGCTTTGTGCTCAAAGAATACATTGGTGCTACGAGGCAGTGGCCTGGACAGAGAGTCTACTCCCATGAAGGACGGCGATACACACCTCCAATAACTTCTCGGTCCTGCGGAGGGAGGACACTATCTACGAGCATCGAGTCGCGCATGGACCCAAAATTATTGCATACTTCGTAATCACCGTACTCACAAAAGAAGAACGCATAGCTTACCACTCAGCTGGTTGCCACTTAGACGAAGCACCCGCAGACTACCTAGGTCTCCCAGCTCCTTGGGTATGCGCCCTCCAAAATGTAGCAAAGCGAGAAACAAAAAAAGCGAAATAAGGAAACGATCGAGCTACCAGAGAATAGGCGGGACACACACGTGCTACACATTGAAATGCTGCCCCGGTTGCCGCAAACGTTTCTGTCGCCACCTTTCCAGGTTTCGAGTTCCAGAATTCATGTCCAAAAAGCTTTAAGGTCATACCATGTTCAAGTACCGTCGCTTGAGAGCGAACCACCTCATGGGGGACGTGAGTGGGAATGAAGTTCCGCAATCGGACTACAGTGCTTTCGGCAGCCCCTTCTAGAAGAATCTCGCCGGCATGGTACCGTAGAAGCACCGGTGTTGTGTCATGGTGCAGTTAACATCATGCGTTCCAGAAAGTGCCTCGCACGCTAATGCTCTATGACACCTAATCAAACACGGCGTCGACAGAACAATATCTTCCTCAAGTTTTCATCGCACGATTTCCTCATTAGTCCATTTTGCTGTTGTGACTCTTTGTGCAGACCGGCACCCAAGGAGATGGGGGGCTTAACCGTGCTGCAATCAGCTTACAGGTAGTGAGGCGGGGCAGTACAACTTTATTCGTTAGTTCCAAAGCCTGAATCTTCCACGCCACCTACTCACCCCCGCCCATCAAGATTCTACAACACCTTTTCCACCCAAGCGCGGTCATGTTCTGATAGCCAGGGGACCCTACTTTCTAACCTTACCAACGCCAAGGTGAGTACGTATTCTGCAAGACGTTGGGGTAGCATTTGCTTGCCAACTCGGGGACGGGCCTTCGAGACAACGCACCCTTGGTCAAATGCCGGCACTTCATGGACCGCTCCAAGGTACCAAGTACATCATATTGAACCTGTCACAGAAGCCGTGACCTTGACGAAATGCAGACACTTAATGGCCCACTCTGCATCACGTTCAACCTACCACAGGACCTATACCGCCCAAGCTTGGGGACCTAGGCACGCCGCGTCAACTTCACCCATCCACAGCTAGCTATGCAGCGACTTGCGATTCACCGCCTTCGACGCATGACTGTCTAGGACAACTGCATTCGATTTGGAACATACTTACCCATGGGTACATCAGTGAATCGATGTTCCGATACAACGAACGCGACATTGTTGGCACATATCTCACCCATAAGCTGGTTGGAGGAAAGCTCAAGCTCCGTCAGTCGGCTCAGCCCCCCTAGCTCCTTCGGGATGTGTCCTGCTCACGCACCACAGCAACAAGGCATGATATTCTCACGTCACGGAGGTTGCCGAGTCCTACCACGTCACCAACTCACGCACACCAACTTCACAGGGCGTTCTACAAGGCATTGGTTCACGTCTTCGATAAACTCATGCAACAACACTGTTCGTTTGGAATCGAAGCTGCCCACTTCCAAAACAGTACGATCTGGGTATGATACAGCATACTGCTGACAAACAGCAGAAAACAATCGTGACCTCTTGGGACCCACCCCTGTGGTCTGCAACGGAAAATGATGCCAACCAACAAGCCGAACGGGCCGATTCGGAGCGGCTTCGTAGTCAAGGATGAGTGGCAATTAATAGAGCGATACCGAACGTCTCGCGCATACCGCAGGAGGTTGAAGAGACAACAAACATGGCATGGTGTTCAGGGCGGAACGTGTCGAAGGAAATCCCCTCTTCGGCGACAACCAGCAAGCGCCTGCCTACTTGTCGCGAAGTCTAACCGTGCTGCAATCAGCTTACAGGTAGTGAGGCGGGGCGGTACAACTATATTTGTTAGTTCCAAAGCCTGAATCCTCACACCACCTACTCACCCCCGCCCATCAAGATTCTACAACACCTTTTCCACCCAAGCGCGGTCATGTTCTGGTAGCCAGGGGACCCTACTTCCTAGCCCTACCAACGCCAAGGTGAGTAGGTGTTCTGCAAGGCTTTCGGGTAGCATTTGCTTGCCAACTCGCAGGCGGGAAGGGCCTTCGAGACAGCGCACCCTTGGTCAAATGCCGGCACTTCATGGACCGCTCCAAGGTACCAAGTACATCATATTGAACCTGTCACAGAAGCCGTGACCTTGACGAAATATAGACACCTAATCGCCCACTCTGCATCATGTTCAACCTACCACAGGACCTATACCGCCCAAGCTTGGGAACCTAGGCACTCTGCGTCAACTTCACCCATCCACAGCTAGCTAAGCAGCGAGTTGCGATTCACCGGCTTCGACGCATGACAGTCTAGGACAACTGCCTCCGATCTGGAACATGCTTACCCATGGTTACATCAGTGAATCGATGTTCCGAAACAACGAACGCGACACAGTTCGCACATTTCTCACCAGTGAGCTGGTTAGAGCCAAGACCAAGCGTGTGCAGCTGGCTCAGCCCCCCTAGCTCCTTCGGGATATGTCCTGCTCAAGCACCACAGCAACAAGGCATGATATTCTCACGTCACGGAGATTGCCGAGTTCTCCGACATCAGCGACTCACGTACACGAACTTCACAAGGCGTTCTACAAGACATTGGTTCACGTCTTCGATAAACTCATGCAACAACACTTCTTGTTGGGCATCGAAGCTGCCCACTTCCAAGACAGTACGACCTTGGTATGATCCAGCGTACTACTCCCAAACAGCAGAAATAAATCGTGACCTCTTGGGACCCACCGCTGCGGTCTGCAACAATAAATGATGCCAGCCAACAAGCCTAACGGGCCGATTCGGAGCGGGTTCGTAGTCGAGGATGCTCCGGGGTCAAAATGAGTGGCAATTAATAGAGCGATACCGAACGTCTTTCGCATACCGCAGGAGCTTGAAGAGACAATAAACATGGCATGGTGTTCAGGGCGGAACGTGTCGAAGAAAATCCCCTCTTCGGCGACAACCAGCAAGCGCCTGCCTACGTGTCGCAAAGTCTAACCGTGCTGCAATCAGCTTACAGGTAGTGACGCGGGACAGTACAACTTTATTCGTTAGTTCCAAAGCCTGAATCTTCCACGCCACCTACTCACCCCCGCCCATCAAGATTCTACAACACCTTTTCCACCCAAGCGCGGTCATGTTCTGGTAGCCAGGGGACCCTACCTCCTGGCCTTACCAACGCCAAGGTAAGTACGTATTCTGCAAGGCGTTCGGGTAGAGCATTTGCTTGCCAACTCGCGGGCGGGACGGGCCTTCGAGACAACGCACCCTTGGTCAAATGCCGGCACTTCATGGACCGCTCCAAGGTACCAAGTACATCATATTGAACCTGTCACAGAAGCCGTGACCTTGACGAAATGCAGACACTTAATGGCCAACTCTGCATCATGTTCAACCTACCACAGGACCTATACCGCCCAAGCTTGGGAACCTAGGCACTCCGCGACAACTTCACCCATCCACAGCTAGCTAAGCAGCGAGTTGCGATTCACCGGCTTCGACGCATGACTGTCTAGGACAACTGCCTTCGTTTTAGAACACACGTACCCATGGGTACATCAGTGGTTCGATGTTCCGAAATAACGAACGTGACACTGTTGGCACATTTCTCACCAGTAAGCTTGTTGCCGTAAAGCGAAAGACCCGGCAGCCGGCTCGTCCACCCCAGGTCCTTCGGGATGTGTCCTGCTCAAGCACCACAGCAACAAGGCATGATATTCTCGCGTCACGGAGGTTGCCGAGTCCTCCGACATCACCGACTCATGCACACGAACTTCACAAGGTGTTCTACAAGGCATTGGTTCACGTCTTCGATAAACTCATCCAACAACACTTGTTGGACATCGAAGCTGCCCACTTCCAATACAGTACGACCTCGGTAGGATCCAGCGTACTGCTGACAAAACAGCAGCAATAAATCGTGACCTCTTGGGACCCACCGCTGGGATCTGGAACAATAAATGATGTCAACGAACAAGCCTANCCAATTAACAGAGCGATACCGAACGTCTCGCGCATACCGCAGGAGGTTGAAGAGACAACAAACATGGCATGGTGTTCAGGGCGGAACGTGTCGAAGGAAATCCCCTCTTCAGCGACAACCAGGAAACGCCTGCCTAGTTGTCGCAAAGTCTAACCGTGCTGCAATCAGCTTACAGGTAGTGAGGCGGGACGGTACAACTTTATTCGTTAGTTCCAAAGCCTGAATCTTCCACGCCACCTACTCACCCCCGCCCATCAAGATTCTACAACACCTTTTCCACCCAAGCGCGGTCATGTTCTGTTAGCCAGGGGACCCTACTTCCTAGCCCTACCAACGCCAAGGTGAGTAGGTGTTCTGCAACGCGTTGGGGTAACATTTGCTTGCCAACTCGCGGGCGGGACGGGCCTTCGAGACAACGCACCCTTGGTCAAATGCCGGCACTTCATGGACCGCTCCAAGGTACCAAGTACATCATATTGAACCTGTCACAGAAGCCGTGACCTTGACGAAATACAGACACTTAATGGCCCACTCTGCATCATGTTCAACCTACCACAGGACCTATACTGCCCAAGCTTGGGAACCTAGGCACTCCGCGACAACTTCACCCATCCACAGCTAGCTAAGCAGCGAGTTGCGATTCACCGGCTTCGACGCATGACTGTCTAGGACAACTGCCTTCGTTTTAGAACACACGTACCCATGGGTACATCAGTGGTTCGATGTTCCGAAATAACGAACGTGACACTGTTGGCACATTTCTCACCAGTAAGCTTGTTGCCGTAAAGCGAAAGACCCGGCAGCCGGCTCGTCCACCCCAGGTCCTTCGGGATGTGTCCTGCTCAAGCACCACAGCAACAAGGCATGATATTCTCGCGTCACGGAGGTTGCCGAGTCCTCCGACATCACCGACTCATGCACACGAACTTCACAAGGTGTTCTACAAGGCATTGGTTCACGTCTTCGATAAACTCATCCAACAACACTTGCTGGACATCGAAGCTGCCCACTTCCAAGACAGTACGACCTTGGTATGATACAGCGTACTGCTGACAAACAGCAGAAAACAATCGTGACCTCTTGGGACCCACCGCTGCGGTCTGCAACAATAAATGACGCCAGCCAACAAGTCTAACGGGCCGATTCGGAACGGGTTTTCCGTCGAGGATGCTCCGGAGTACGACAAATCAGACCAAAATGAGTGCCAATTAACAGAGCGATACCGAACGTCTCGCGCATACCGCAGGAGGTTGAAGAGACAACAAACATGGCATGGTGTTCAGGGCGGAACGTGTCGAAGGAAATCCCCTCTTCGGCGACAACCAGGAAACGCCTGCCTAGTTGTCGCAAAGTCTAACCGTGCTGCAATCAGCTTACAGGTAGTGAGGCGGGGCGGTACAACTTTATTCGTTAGTTCCAAAGCCTGAATCTTCCACGCCACCTACTCACCCCCGCCCATCAAGATTCTACAACACCTTTTCCACCCAAGCGCGGTCATGTTCTGTTAGCCAGGGGACCCTACTTCCTAGCCCTACCAACGCCAAGGTGAGTAGGTGTTCTGCAACGCGTTGGGGTAGCATTTGCTTGCCAACTCGCGGGCGGGACGGGCCTTCAAGACAACGCACCCTTGGTCAAATGCCGGCACTTCATGGACCGCTCTAAGGTACCAAGTACATCATATTGAACCTGTCACAGAAGCCGTGACCTTGACGAAATGCAGACACTTAATGGCCCACTCTGCATCATGTTCAACCTACCACAGGACCTATACCGCCCAAGCTTGGGAACCTAGGCACTCCGCGTCAACTTCACCCATCCACAGCTAGCTAAGCAGCGAGTTGCGATTCACCGGCTTCGACGCATGACTGTCTAGGATAACTGCCTTCGTTCTGGAACACACTTACCCATGGGTACATCAGTGAATCGATGTTCCGATACAACGAACGCGACACTGTTGGCACATATCTCACCAGTGAGCTGGTTGGAGTCAAGATCAAGCGTCTGCAGCTGGCTCAGCCCCCCTAGCTCCTTCGGGATGTGTCCTGCTCAAGCACCACAGCAACAAGGCATGATATTCTCGCGTCACGGAGGTTGCCGAGTCCTCCGACATCACCGACTCATGCACACGAACTTCACAAGGTGTTCTACAAGGCATTGGTTCACGTCTTCGATAAACTCATGCAACAACACTGTTCGTTTGGAATCGAAGCTGCCCACTTCCAAAACAGTACGATCTGGGTATGATACAGCATACTGCTGACAAACAGCAGAAAACAATCGTGACCTCTTGGGACCCACCCCTGTGGTCTGCAACGGAAAATGATGCCAACCAACAAGCCGAACGGGCCGATTCGGAGCGGCTTCGTAGTCAAGGATGAGTGGCAATTAATAGAGCGATACCGAACGTCTCGCGCATACCGCAGGAGGTTTAAGAGACAACAAACATGGCATGGTGTTCAGGGCGGAACGTGTCGAAGGAAATCCCCTCTTCAGCGACAACCAGGAAACGCCTGCCTAGTTGTCGCAAAGTCTAACCGTGCTGCAATCAGCTTACAGGTAGTGAGGCGGGACGGTACAACTTTATTCGTTAGTTCCAAAGCCTGAATCTTCCACGCCACCTACTCACCCCCGCCCATCAAGATTCTACGACACCTTTTCCACCCAAGCGCGGTCATGTTCTGGTAGCCACGGAACCCTACTTCCTAGCCCTACCAACGCCAAGGTGAGTAGGTGTTCTGCAACGCGTTGGGGTAACATTTGCTTGCCAACTCGCGGGCGGGACGGGCCTTCGAGACAACGCACCCTTGGTCAAATGCCGGCACTTCATGGACCGCTCCAAGGTACCAAGTACATCATATTGAACCTGTCACAGAAGCCGTGACCTTGACGAAATGCAGACACTTAATGGCCCACTCTGCATCATGTTCAACCTACCACAGGACCTATACCGCCCAAGCTTGGGAACCTAGGCACTCCGCGACAACTTCACCCATCCACAGCTAGCTAAGCAGCGAGTTGCGATTCACCGGCTTCGACGCATGACTGTCTAGGACAACTGCCTTCGTTTTAGAACACACGTACCCATGGGTACATCAGTGGTTCGATGTTCCGAAATAACGAACGTGACACTGTTGGCACATTTCTCACCAGTAAGCTTGTTGCCGTAAAGCGAAAGACCCGGCAGCCGGCTCGTCCACCCCAGGTCCTTCGGGATGTGTCCTGCTCAAGCACCACAGCAACAAGGCATGATATTCTCGCGTCACGGAGGTTGCCGAGTCCTCCGACATCACCGACTCATGCACACGAACTTCACAAGGTGTTCTACAAGGCATTGGTTCACGTCTTCGATAAACTCATCCAAAAATACTTCTGGTCGGGAATCGAAACTACACACGTCCAAGACAGTACGACCTTGGTATGATCCAGCGTACTGCTGACAAACAGCAGAAATAAATCATTACCTCTTGGGAACCACCGCTGCGGTCTGCAACAGTGAATGATGCCAGCCAACAAGCCCAACGGGGCCGATTCGGAACGGGTTTTCCGTCGAGGATGCTCCGGAGTACGACAAATCAGACCAAAATGAGTGGCAATTAACAGAGCGATAACGAACGTCTCGCGCATACCGCAGGACCTTAAGAGAAAACAAACATGGCATGGTGTTCAGGGCGGAACGTGTCGAAGGAAATCCCCTCTTCAGCGACAACCAGGAAACGCCTGCCTAGTTGTCGCAAAGTCTAACCGTGCTGCAATCAGCTTACAGGTAGTGAGGCGGGACGGTACAACTTTATTCGTTAGTTCCAAAGCCTGAATCTTTCACGCCACCTACTCACCCCCGCCCATCAAGATTCTACGACACCTTTTCCACCCAAGCGCGGTCATGTTCTGGTAGCCACAGAACCCTACTTCCTAGCCCTACCAACGCCAAGGTGAGTAGGTGTTCTGCAACGCGTTGGGGTAACATTTGCTTGCCAACTCGCGGGCGGGACGGGCCTTCAAGACAACGCACCCTTGGTCAAATGCCGGCACTTCATGGACCGCTCTAAGGTACCAAGTACATCATATTGAACCTGTCACAGAAGCCGTGACCTTGACGAAATGCAGACACTTAATGGCCCACTCTGCATCATGTTCAACCTACCACAGGACCTATACCGCCCAAGCTTGGGAACCTAGGCACTCCGCGTCAACTTCA